CACACACACACACACACACACACACACACACACAAAGAAAAAAAAGCATGGAAGTCATCTAATGGCACGTCTTACAGAAACAGCACATGAACTTACCGTGTGGCATGAAGTCACACATAGATCCTTTTAAGATGTGACGGTGGAGCCTGATGACACCATGGAAGAGGTCTTTCTGATGTCACTGAGAGCACGTGTTGGAAGGACTCTCAGCTACCACCACATCAGTGAAGGCTCAGGAACAGTCAGGTGCAGTTGTTGATGGACATCCATCAATCCATTCCTTCACGTAAAGCACATGTTTCTGACACTTTGGAACGTCTTCATCAGGTTTCTGTGATCACATGAGCGGCTGTGGCTCAGCGGTCAGAGCAGTCGTCCTCCAATGCAAGAGTTGGGGGTTCAAATCCACCAGCAGTCACATGCCGAAGTGTCCCTGGGCAAGACCCTGAACCCCTCGTTGCCTCCGATGTGTGTCCCATCAGTGTCTGACTGTGATAGAGCTCTGGTTAATGTCTGTAGAGGTCTAGTATAGAGCTGCATGAATGGGTGAATGAGGCTCAGATTGTTGTGAAGAGCTTTGAGCATCTTTATAAAACAGAACGGTGCTGTATGTGAAAAACATGCTAAACTGTAGTAATTAGATTAATTAATTAATTCAGAACTTCATGATAAAGTGATGAGCTAATCAAGTTCTTTAAAATCATCTGCGTTGCAACAGAGAAAGATCTAAAACCTGCAGGACGGTGGCCCTCAAGGACCAAAAGAGTGGACACACAAACAAATAAATCATTAAAAGCTGATTCTGCATCAGAACTTTTCAGAATATGATTTATTTGTGTAGGGAGGGTCATGGTGGTTTACAGAGGTTATAAAAAGTCAGCTGGACTTTTTACGGTTCTTTATCAGAACCTGAATGTCTTTATTGTCATTATGCACAAGTACAATGAAATTAAGAGCCACTCCTTTTTCAGTGCAAAACATGCTTAAGAAAAACACTAAAAATGTAACGCAGTATAGATATAATAATGAAAGTAAAAAATACAAGTATTACACAATTGTATTGCACATCATGGATATTAGTGAGGTAGTTAAGGTGACTGACAGTATGAAATGTCAGTAGTATTGCACAGTAGAAGTCCAGGGGTTTGGGGGGTTAGATGATTAAATCAGTGCATGTGTGAGTTCAGTGTGGTGATGGCTTTCAGGAAAACAACTTCTTGAATCTGTTTGTTCTTGTTCTGATGCACCTGTAGCGCTTCCCTGAAGGTAACAAGTCAGTTCAAAACCCGGGTGTGAACAGTCCTTGATTATATCCTGATGCATGCTCAATAATCCAGGTAGAAAAATCTAAAAAAGTTAAATCTGGTCCTCTGGACATTCAAAAAAACAAAACAAAGCAAATCAACAAAAAAATGTAGAAACGTTTCGTCTCTCGTCCGAAAGACTTCTTCAGTCTGAGGAGCTGTATTCAGCTCAGTCTCTTAAATAGCACCTTCTCAGAGTGGATCAACCAGTTTTGCTGCTAACAACCAAAACCAGCTGCTCACATGGTCAAGAAGGACCATCAGCATAACAATGGATCATTAGCACCTGATGGCTGTTTACTATTCACAGAGGGCTGAGTGATACTAGCAATCACAGCATTGTAAGAGGGGGACAGTTGAACCCGGAGGCTCCACCCCTGTTTAATGATGGACGGTTTCTTTTCACAAAGATGGCCTCCTTTACTCCTCTCTCAAACCATCGTTCCTCTCTGTCCAGGATGTGAACATCTTCATCCCTGAAAGAGTGACCGCTGGCCTGGAGATGAGTGTAGACCGCAGAGTCCTGGCCTGATGATGTTGATCTTCTGTGCTGGGCCATCCTTTTGGCCAGTGGCTGTTTTGTTTCCCCTGTAGTGAACTTGACCTGATGTCAAATCTGACCAGATGGACAGAAACTGTTATTTCATTGATCTGCATCCAGAAATACAGTTTGACCCATCCTGAGACTTTCTTTCTTGAATTAATCAAGTAGAAATGACAATTCTCTATGATCATTACTATTTTACAAATGTTTGATAATCAAATTGTGTTAGTTCACTCAATGTTTACAGGTTGAAGAGAACTACTCATTTTTATTTACATAAACAGTAAGTAATGATTTTTATTCCTCATTCAAAGAAGAAATCAGGGTAATATGCATTTCTTGATTTTTCTGTCTTCAATGAGCAAGTTTGTAAGTGTGTGTTAAAGTTCAGGTTTCGGTCAACTAAAAAGTTTACTGAAAAGAAATGTCATGTTTAACTTTTACAGAAGATACAGGAGAGTTTGACTCCACGAAGTCTGGTTTTCTCCAATAATCTTTCTGTCTGTTTTAAACAATCTTAATCTCTATCCTTGAATTTCCATAACACCTTACATCACAAACCACACCTCTGTTCTGGTCCATCCACGAATCAGAAAGCTCTCAAATGACCCGGAAGTCGAACCCATTTAAATGTGGCAACTTCCCAGTTCTCAATGAGAGGTGTCGAAAAAAGGTCTGAAGACTGTGTCGAGATGAGTCGACAAAGTTTTTCAGAGCTTGAAAGTTTTTCCTGGAGAAGAGTTCCAGACTTTAACTCTCTGAAGAGAGTTAAAGAGTTCAGAGTTCTTGGATGCTAACGCAGGCGTCCAGGATGCTTCTATTGGAATCCAGAATCCAGAGACGATTTTGGGAATTATAACTTCTGTTTGGATAACCTCACACGACTCCTAAAAGTATTTTAGCTGTTCTCAACGGAGACGCTGAAAGAGTCAAAATAAGGACTTCACGCCGACCTGATCTATCATCAACCAGGTAAAAGTTCTATTTCGACCAAGCGTACCGTGGCCAAGCTGAGATCTGAAGGAGCGTGCACGTTCTGGTCAAACAGATAAATTCCCTCACACATCTCTCTGTAAGATAAATCTCCATTTCCATCTTAAACTCTCCTTTCTCCTAAAATCATTACAGATATTTTAGAAATGTCTGAAGCAAAGTTTCTCAATCACCGCCGTGTGATTGATGTCTGCTGTTCTGCTGAAAAGTGACAACAATCTCCGTATTGTTCCCACTTCCTGTGAAACTAGCCATGTTATTGTTTTCATATTTTGCCAAATTAATGTAAATGTTTGATGTTAAACTTTGATTCTGTAAATAAATGACCGCATTCATTTTGATGGGTCAAAGATAAATAACGTCTCTCGTTACATTTCTGTTAAATTCAATGCACGACATTTACACAGTCAGAAAAATGAAGAACCCGTGAAATGTATGAATATATCCTGCATATGTCATACTACACCCCGATGTAAGACTGATCACCCTCCTGACACTGAACAGCATACACAATATTACTCTGTTTGTGCCGGGGGACTGGATCTTTGGGATGAACCAGTCTTTAATGTATTTTGGGGTTTAAAAGCCACTGGGACGTTATGTTTAGAAAATAAACGTCTCAGTTTCTCTGATACTCCCTCAACATATGGAATGACCACTGGTCTGGGTCTGGGTTCCTCCTTTTCACCTGTTGGCTGACTGGAGTCCTGTTTGGGTTTCTTCTCTGCTTTCAGGAAGGCCCAGTTAGGATATCCACATTGCATATTCTCATTGTCTGAGGAGCTGAATACAGCACCTCAGACTGAGGAAGTCTCTCGGATGAGAGACGAAACGTTTCTACATTTTTTTGTTGATTTGCTTTGTTTTGTTTTTTTGAATGTCCAGAGGACCAGATTTAACTTTTTTAGAAACATCTCACACTGTAAATGCATGTAGTCAGATGTGAGTTTAAACGAGATTCCATGAAACAACAATATTCATTCAGTTAAGGCACTAAGGACAGAATGTGTCATGGAACGAGCCATCACATCACGTAAATAAAAGTGAATAAATGAGCAGTGTGTTGACCACGCAGCCGCAGTGCAAATATCCTGCATTGTCATACCATTATTCAAAGCAGTCGAAGATGCGATACCTCTGGTCGAGTGCGCCCTGAGGTTGTCAGGAGGCTCTAAATCTGATGCTCTGTGGGCTTCAGAAATGGCCTCACACAGCCAGTGTGACCGGTGCTGGGTGGGTAACGGGTGACCTGCAGATGCATCTCTATAATGCACAAACAAATGTTGAGTTTGATGCGTTGCAGCTGTGCTTGTTATGTAACACGTCAACGCACACACAGGACAGAGAAGATGGAAAGATGCTTCTTCTTCTGATTGTGGGGAG